ACTTGTCAAAATTAGACATCAGACTATTAAAATGGCTTCTGTGTGAGGAAGGTAGCTTGCCTTCCTGAGCATTTTTTTCTTACTGTTTTTGTCTTAAGAAGGTGTAAGTATCAAGAAAAATAATAGGTCTGTCCTGTGTCTTGCTGTCAGGCAGCTGTCTGCACCTAACACAGCACAGATTTTGACAGAAGAAGAGAGACCTGTTTGTATCATCTTCTTCCTAGTTAAGAAACCAGATCTTTTCTTTTTATTGAATAATTTTCTAATATCTGGCAAATACATTGGAAATGTGTTTAACTAACTTCCTCAGAGTGGAGGGGAGTGTAGAGGATTTCCCAAGATAAAACATAGTGTAGCTTAATTTTTCATCGTGCACATGATTCTCTGGTTTAAGGATTTAAAGCTGAAACTAAACTAGTAATTTTCAGGCCGAACCTTGATAAAATTAATCATATTGTCTTATGTGAGAAGTCTAGATTAAGAAAATAATGCTGAAAAGTGGCCCAAATGTAAACCCAAAGTGTAATTAATGCCAGAAAGGAAAATTCACGAATTATGAAGTATTCTTTCTATGAGATGTTCAGTATTTTATATTCTTCAGTTGCTCACGTGTCATTTACATACGCACAATGAAAGGATGTTAGTTAGAAGGAATGAAAAGAAGTTTGTTGTTCAGATAGAGGATATGTTGTCTTGCACTTTCAGATAACAGCAGATGCTGCAAATCCAGGAAGGCTTTTGTTTCCTTTTTCTGTGTCTGCTTTATCATACTTCCCTGCTGATTCCTAAGTACTGAGTATTTGAAAATACTGTATTAAGAAAGTGTGGTGTAATGCCTAGATTCTTCTGTCACAAGTATTAAATATGGCTGTATTGATTACATGTCACTGTAAACAAGCACAGAAGAAAAACTGAACCAGAGACTGGGGCTACGGATTACAGCTTCTTCTGAGGGCAACGTGAATCAGTAAGAGGAAAATACTCTTTGCATGTGCTTCTTCCAGGATAAATTAGTTCATGGTGAATCCCAGCCTACAGCACGGTTTGTTAAAGAATGCATGTGATCTTTTCTAAAGAAAACTGTTTTTTTTCCGGGCAGTTGGTTAATTAAATACATGGATGTGGAATATATGTTCCTCTTAGTAGCTGATGCAGGTGTGTTCATTTGCAAATGAATCTTAAGTTGGTCTGCAGAATTCAGTGGGTGCTCTTACATAGGTCTCTCCATTCCTCTTGTAACAGTCTTAGCTGTGGCAGCAGCTTTCTTCCCTTAAACAACCTAATCTTGCAGATTTGTGGTGAGTCCTCAAAGCAAAAAACCATCCCTAATCTGAACCCTTTGCCCTTTCCCTCTTGTTTTAAAGTGGTATGTTGTTAATCGTTGCTGTGTTTATTTCCTCTAATGTATTTTGCCTTTCCTAGTTGCCTTACAATGCTTATTGGTGAGTATGTCTCTGAATAAGTAGGTGCAGGAACAATAATGGTTTCCAATCTTTGTGACTTTGGGGGCCCAGATGACATACCATGTGAAAATAATCAGTTGTGGGTTAGTCGGCTTAGTCTTGTACACAATTGTAAATTTTATGGGATTTTTGGAGATAGATTTTACTAGCACCCAATTGATATGCCCTGTTTTCTCATACCAACTTATTTTCAACTTTTGGATGAGTGCCAATTCTTCAAAAGATTTTAATATCATCACTAACTGTGAGTCTCGGGGGAAAAAAAAAATCTTAGCAGAGTTCTGTTTGTATTGGTAGTAATCCAAGCTGATAGTAGATGCAGACAGTCAAAGCCTCTTAGGCTGAACATCGTAATTCTGGTGTTGTAGCAAAACCATGGTATTCATCAAATGTGTAATTAGGACAGATGATACTCTGGTTGAAGGCCATTCGTGATACATGTTAATGAGCAGAACACTTTGTTGTTCAGAGGAGAAGTGGGTATTCTGGTCCTCCTGTCTCCAAAAGCAGAAAAATTCAACTGTCTTGAGAAAAAAACCCTTAAATAATAGGCCAAAACTCAGCTGTGGCCCTTTCCCTTGCTTTTCCCTCTGCGGTCTCCAGAGGGGCTACCTAGTTTGCTAGGGTGCTGTGAAGTTTCACTTTCATGTGGAAAGGTAAATAGGTTCACTTTCAAAGGAAAGTACCTTCCAAATAGGCCTAGCTGTTTGGCAGCAGTGCTGGGGGAGGGAAGCTGGGAGGAGAATTTGGTTTCTCAAGTTCAGTCACCAGCACTTGTTAAGCAGCTGAACTTCAGAGAGGTGTGTCTCCTGCTATTCCCTCCAGCCCTAGTTCACAGCTTTTAAAATGTGGCTATAAAGGTTTTCTAATTCTGAAAAAGTATCCCAGAAGCAAATGATTCCTTGCTCAGTCCCAATTCCTTTACTGTAAAGCAAAAGTATTCTAAAGCAGATGTTGGCATTTTAATGGATGAAGAAGGAAGGGAGGGAGGATTTCCTTTGACTTCCTACCCAACTAAGATCCTTAGTATGTTTTAAAGGTGTGGGAACTTGGCAGTCTTTTCTTACAGTCGTATTCTGCAGTTGCTGTTTTGGTGCTTTCACTTAGTTCATTAATTCAGTGGGTTACATTTTTGAGAGAGGCAGACCCTGATGAGCATCTTTCAGGTCTTGATAACAACATTTAAAAAGAAATACAACCCTCAGTTCCCAACCTGGGAATCCCTCCAAAAATCTGAAATACAGTATTTCAGTGAGCAGTACAAATGCATTAATGAATAAACAATGTGGCATATTGAACATATTATTTGATATGTTGCTTCTGCACCCAAAGCTGGTTTAAGGTTCCTTTTGTGAAATGGTTGTATAAATCTTTGATAGCTAGAAATCACTGACAGTCTGGACCAGCATGCTACTCTAGTACAAAAAGAATCATTGGCAAGCATTGCTTTCAAATGTAACGATGTTTTTTTGTGCTCCGGTAGACAGTTTTGGGTTGCCCAGGGGATAATTCCTATAGCTGAGATATTGTCGCAGTTACGGAAGGAGCTACAGCATCTCATGAAAACGCTGTTGCCCCCCCACTGAAATTTTGTGAAAATAGTATCTGTGCTTACTCAATCCTTTTTATTCAGACAGTGGGGTGCGGTTTTCTGTGCTTGGAAAAGGTGTTCTGCCTAGAGCAGGACAAAGAGGCAGCCCAAGAAAGCGGAATGTCCCTTGGCTGTGCAGTCAGGCCAGCCCGTTCAAGGATGGCTTGTGTCTGGCAGCGCTCTCCTTCCGCCTGGACAGGCCCGTCAGGCGGGGAGGAGAAGCAGTTTGTTTATGGGAACCGAAACGATGGACAGTGTTTACGGCCTGCTGCCTCTGGCCCTGTCCTCTCTCACTACTGAGCGGTTGTTCAAACCCACCTGATGATGGGGCCGGGATGGTTTGCATAGTCTGCCGTGGGCATGCCTCCTGCGTGAACAGGGAATAACTTGCACATCCTGGTGGGCTGGCGGCAGGGGGGACGACCTCTCTCCTTTGCCACAGCGCATCTGGAGTTCAGCTGGGAAGGCAGAATTAATATTTTTGCTGTTTAGCGTGTGGTGAGGGATCCTGTTCCAAAACTCATCAGAGCTGGGAAGGAGAAAATTTGGCAAGGGGAGTTGAGGCCACCCGTGTCTGGTGAAGCAGAGAAGCAGCTTCCTGTACATTATTCCCTTCTCACATTTCACCTTTCCTCTTCAAAGCTTTATGAAGGGTGGTGGCAGAATCCCAGCAGTGCCTGCACTGAATTGGACGCACTCATGGCAGGGACAATCAAAGAACACAGTATGGTTTTATTGCTAGGTAGTGTTTCCAGATGACAATGGAGTCACAGCCTAATTAAACCACAGCCCTGGTGTCTCTGTACAGCCGGGACAATAGCGACTAGCTCTCCGTTTCATTCACACGCAAGTGTAATTTGACAGGTGCATTATGAGCACGCCTAAATCGATGAACAGTAAAGGGAAACAGCAAGCTGTCCTGAAAAGGAGATGGAACCATGAGAAATATTTCAATTATTTTATTTTGGACCTCGTAAGTGATTTTGGGACATAATGAAGTATGAATGTGCATTGAAAACACTAACACTGCTGGAGTTAAAATTGGAGTGACGCTCACTTACAAAGCAAGCTTTTTTGTTAAATACACAGTGCAAAGTGAGACAAAAAAGTACTGTAGTTGGTAGTTTAAAAAGTTTTATTTGGGGATGATCTAAGCTTAAATTGATTGGCTAATTATAAAACTTTGTGACTTACTAAATTAATAATTTTCAGAAAAGTAAGGTATGAATTTAATTTACTGTTAGCTACAGGGGTGCCTTCAGTCTGTGCATTATTTAGTTTTTGTTATGTTTTAGTAGAATAATTTTTATATTCAGTATTTACCGGCAGAGACTGGAAACTGGTGGTATATTCCTAGTGGTGCTGTTTGCGTTACAATACTCATGAAGATAACTGTTTTAAAACCTTGTCATAGCACCTGCTTGTCAAAATACTGTATCTGTTAATGGCTGCATTTTATTAAATTTTTCCTGAGATTGTCTCAGTGGACTACTCCAAGGCTGGAATGGGTGCTTGTGAAAAGTATGGCAGGGAAAAACAGGAATGCACCTTACACGCATTACTTCTAGATGTCCCATGGATTAATTGTAATGTCTGAACTACTTTTAGCTGTAATAATGCCCAAAGTTTTTGTTGACATGATGTGGTATGTGCTATCAGTGTGTAAAACTGTGTGTAAACCTGTGCTAACTATGTGTAAAACGGCATAGTTTCACATCGTGTTTGTAAAAATCATTTAACAGATGGAGTAAATGGGTGCGTATGATCTCACAGCTACTTAAAACTGATATGGTGTAGTAGTGCTTAACCTACTGGACTGATGCCAAAGCAGTGTACTCTAAGAACTAATTCCCTGCTTTATTTCATTTCTTTCACAAAGACATTTTAACAGTTAGGAATGTAAATAAATACCCGAGTACTTCACTGTGTTTTCTTTTCTTCAACAGGACACAACAAGTATAGAAAAAATGTCAAACTGTTGTGAAGACATGTAAGTGCTGTAAAATTTCTGCATTTATTTGCTGAAAAGCTAAAGAAGTAGCTGCTCTTTTTAACTGTGTGAGAGGGAAAGGGAACTGGAGGCACTGTTGGGATTATTTTGCATGGTACTGTGCCTTGTACTTCCTATCTCTAGCAGCAGCTCACTAATCTTTTCATATTGGTTGTACACAAAGTAGCCTCACATTATTCCCATTCCTTCCAAAGCCAGTGGAACTGTATTTTCTTTCAAGAGTACAGATCAAAAGACACTTTCTGCTGTGTCTTGACATACATTTCATTGATTCTGAGCTTCTCCTCTGCTTCAAAAGTTGCCTTTGGTTGATTGACGACACAGATAGTTTCTGTTCTCCAAAGTTGAGTCTCAGCTGCGCGCCGCGATGAAAGAAAAGCTGTATTTGTGATGCTGGGACACAATTCATCAGAGTCCAGTAATGGATCCCCAGCCAACCTGCATTGTTCTAGCTGACTGAAGTGCACCATGGGCGTGCTGTCTTTCACTAATAATGCTGTCTTCTGTAGATCGAGGCCCCGAAAGCCATGGCAGCAGACCTTCTCAGAAGTTTTTGGCACTCGATGGAAGATCCTGTGGTTTATTCCTTTCAGGCAGAGGCAACCACTGTGCGTTCCCTACCACTTTGCCAATCACATCTGAACAGATGGATGGTGGGCACAGATGGGTCCTCCATGCTGGAAGTGCGTTACAGGTTTTATGTTAATAGGACTATGACAGTCTTCAAGTCAATTAAAATCCACCCACCAATTGTAGACATCACAATGTGCCCCAGGCTTTATTTTAATAGTGGTCTTGATTCTGTTCTGAGATTAATGCAAGTTTTATGTATAACTTTAAGCATATTTACTTTCAAATTGGCTTTCCAAAGGGATTTCTTTCATCTTTGAGGTTAATACCAAAAACAAATGACTGGAATGCAGTCTTACTCTAGTTGTTTGATAGTGGCTCTTTTTTTTTTTTTTTGGTAGGTAACACATTTACATTGACTGTTAACTTTTCCACTAAGTGTCTTAATTCTGCCTTGAATTTTATTTAATGTTTTTATCAGTAGGTCTGTCCAGATAATATTCATGTATTTTTCTTTGCTACATGTGATTCCCTGATACGGCCATCTATTTATCATATGCAGTAGTAATCTTGCATCACCACACTAAAAAAGGTAACATTTAAAACTGAGACAGACTTCTTCCTAAACCTTTCTCAGAGATGTTTTTATAAATACTCATAGGTGTATGTGTCCATATATAGAGATCTTTCGTCTTACAGTTATCTTTCTGCATAGATACGATCTTGGTGAAAAATACTGACGTCTTGTTGTCAACAAAAGCGATAAAATGTTCCAGGGTAAAATATGCAGGTAGAAAGCATGTTTTCCCTATATCCCCAGGATTTCTTTGCAATAATTCACAAAGAAGTTGTATGGTGCAGATACTAGAATGATTACTTCTTAAAAAATACAGATTTTATTAGTTAGCATAATGTACCATAAAGAGTATAGTGTCAATAAAGTTATATCTTTTATATTTACATTTGTTTAGCCATGATTAGCTGGAATTGGTCCTAGTGTTTGTATATGGGAGATGTATGTGAACATATTTTAAAATATTTGTACATAAATACAGATTTTTGCTACTAACATGTAAAGTAAAGTATATTAACTGAATTAAAAGGAATACTGTTAATGTATGATAGCTTGTTGTGGGCCCTTTAAGTATGGAACTAATTAACCAAAGAAGGTATCCTTAAGATTTCATCTGGTAAAATGACAACGATTCCCAAAGTACTGGCTCAGCTTTGCTGTATATGGAGATATTACATAATGTTTTTATTGTTCTCTGTATCAGCATGAGATGTATGTGATTTTTTAAAATCCTGTGAATTTTTATGAGAAATTCACAGCTTCAACGTTTTCAGTTAGGCTGCTTACAGTGGTTTTTGTTTAGTCTAACAGGACTAGGACCCACCTTAAATGACATCCATGCAGCAGGGTAAGAAAAGGTGCAAAATCAGGTTGTGTTTGGAGAATAATTGTTTGTGAACAGTTCACTCAGTAAGAAGGGCTAGATTTTTCATGAGTGGTATTTTTAGGTCAATTCTTTTAAAATCCTAACATAGTCACTGCCAGTGTTGGGTGTCCCTTCATTGCATTAGCAGATTTTGCCGATCCATTGACACTTCCAAAAGGTGCATTTTAATCATCACTTGAATTTTAAACTTCTGTAAACTTCTGACATTTAAGACAACTTTACTTCCCCTCTTCTTTTAAAAATAGAAGCAGTGTTTTCTTCATTTAAATTTCAAGCATCATGATCAACCATGTTTTTCATGGCACTTTTAAAGGTGAGTTTGGAACTTCTTTAAGATGGTACTGGCAGCAGTACTTAAATGAAAGGGAGCTTGAGGAAAGTGGATTGGAAAGGCTGGAGCAGTGCTTGAAATTAAAAAAGGTGTGCATATACATTATGAAGAAAGGGCTGTATTCTTTCTTCTTTTTAAGGAAGCCCACTGTTACAGTCTCTGTGAAACACATAGGGGAGTAATTGCAGTTTTGATTTATGTGCCATTATTTAAATGTTTCATGAGCAAAACACAGTATTTTTTAAAAAATTTTTCATGCTAATCAATTGCCATAGTTAGCAAATTATGCAGTACTGAAGCTTATAAAGAAAGAGGATCAAGAATTTGACTACTCTTGATGCATTCGGTGTCTGGGCACACAATTATTCTGGTATCCTGGTTTCGGTTAATTTAACAGTGCATGGAGAACCAAGTAAGCCATACAGAATCTGCTCGATGCTGGGAACCTGAGTTATAAGTGGTGTATTTAATGTTTGTACATGACACCCAGTCAGTACTGGGACCATTGCATTTTGCCTGCTTCGTGGGGACAGAAATCCACCGGCAGCCCTGATGTCATACTGTGTGCCATACTCCAGGACTCTCAAGCAAAAGAAGACACCGATCGCAGGAAGCCAACACCACTGTGGCACAGACTGGGATTAAACATGCTCAGAATGAATCTGACATCCACATTGTGTCATGTGGGAGGCTTCCCTGCAGGGCCACATTCCATGCCCGGTGAGCGCGCAGTAACGCAGCCTGCATCGCTCTCCCGGCGTTCTCTGTTGGCCGCTTTGCTCAGTGACAGGGCCCCATGGCTGCCTTCAGTGCTATGACGCAGTGCTGTTGGGAGCAAGAATGGCATGATGTGTGCGGGCGGGCACGCGTGCGTGCTGGCATCAGGGCTGGCCTCTTGGGACTGGAGTGCATCTTAGTCGAGGAGACCGTGCCTTGGGCCTGCTGCAGGTGAAGGTGCAGCGCACCAGCTTTATATGGAAGGCCTTCAGACTTTCCTTTCAAACCATCAGTTATAAATTGAAAATTAAACACCTGTGAGTTCAGAGGTGCTTACGTCAATGGCCAAAAGAAGAATCTAGAGGCTGAAGTGTGAGGTGTATGTTTTAGTAAGGGCTGTAGATTAAAATCTTGCCTGATTCTCGAATGAAAATGGTTAGTTTCACAGATTCACAATTCCTCAAATGTTTTCATATTGTCAGCTTTTTTTTTGGTAAATGTGCTTTGGCTCAGTCTCCCATTCATCCTTAACATTAGGAATCAATATGTAATATGATTAAGGCAGCTGCTTCATTTTTTTAATCCCATATTTTTTTTGAGTATGTGAAGAAGGGGGAATGTGGAGAGGTCTTCATTTTTAGGAGGCACTGAAACTTATTCTTTGAATGACAGGACTCTAAAAATTATATAAGTATTTTTTAAAAATTTAGCTAATGACCTTTATCACATTATTAATTAGAATAATGTTTCTGAAACTGATTGTCAGGAAGAATTGTTCCAGCAGGAAAAGATCAGGTTTACTTTTATGATCTAATTTGAAATCCTTTAAACCTTGAAATCCTTTGAACCTTTAATTTGAAATCCCACTTCTTTCCCTTCAGCTCTCCATCATTTTTTATTTTAGTAGAAACTGCTTTCTTAAGATTGATTAATGCTTGTCTTTGTTATTAATTTTAAGAATCTTATAGACAGTATTAGTGACATTAATTTCATATAACATCAGAACTACACATGCATTATTGAACCCAGGGGATACTGGCTCTGAAGTTAACAATATTTGATTTCCTGAGGGATACAAAGAGAAGTCAAAGCACTAATAAAAAGCAACCTGAAAACACTTGAAAATAGCTGGTTTATTTGCAGTTTGGGGTAGCTCCTGGTAGGACTCAACAGTGCTACCTTGCTATCTTGTCATAATAACAGTTATTTGAGATTTCATTTGAAAAATATTGATGACTAAAATAAAAGATTCTGCATTAAATAATGTTTACCAACCTATCCTCTGATATGCAATAATTTTCAGCCTTGAGGAGGACTCCTGAGTAAGGAACTAAGAACCAAGTGATAGGACAGATTTTGAACTAGGCAGCTTCCTCTTTATTTTGAATCTAAAGCAGGCTAATGTGAAGGGGAGATTTTATAAAAGCACAGAGAAAATGGAGATGGGGCCAAAAAGATTGTTTTGATTGTTACCAAAGTTTACCAAATGAAATAAGATTGCAAAAAGCAGCAGGTACACAGTTAGATATACATGCCATCATTAAATGATGTCTTGCAGTGTTCATCTTCCAGTTGTCCAGTTTTATTCAGTAAATTAATGCTGTGGTTTGTGCTATAGCAGGCCATTGTATGCCCATGAAAGAAATGTAGGTGGCAAAGACAGCATTTCTGCAGTACTGTGGAAAAGAATCTTTTTCAAGTCAACTTTGTATTCAGATGAAACATAGGATAATGAGTTTTCTGGTAACCTGAAATCGTTAGTTAATATAAGAGGACTTTTTTGTAATGCATTATTTACTGCATTTGGCCAGCTTTCTTGCCAGCAGTACATGACCTACAGCAGAACATTTCTGTCACGTGTCTGGGGATGCTGTCACTTAGATGTATTTTTTACCTTGGCGATCTCCACCCTTTGTCCTCACCACACACTCGATTTTGCTGCAGCTCACAAATAAGAGGCCAGTGTAGTTTTGTTGGAACAACCATATCACAAAGACAAATACTGTCAACTGGCTCTTCTCAATGTCCCTACTGGAAATACCATTGCATTCCTGAAAAGTGAGTCAATCAAGTGGAGCCTTGATATTTCTGGACAAAAATTACTGCTTATTCTACATATATTCCCATCAATAATACTGTGTTAGCACTTCTAAACTATTCCTAAAATGAAACTGAGCATGCTTTCTGAAGAATAAGAGTTGCATGAAACAATGTGGATCTAATTAGTACCACCTAGTACTTCTCATTCAATCCAGTACTTCTACAGCTGTGTTATACATGCAAGCATAATGAATTTATTTTCTTAGCATTGTGTATGAGAAGTACACTTTTATTTGTAGTCTTCTAACCGACTGAAGGTTAATCGTCAGAAGGCAAAGGTACTGTATTGGTCTTTGCACTTCAAGACATAAGTATCTTTTGTTTAGCTGCAAAATTTCTGACGTGACGTTAAAGTCTCTGGGCAAAGGTTTGAACCTAATAAAGTGATCTGACTGAGCATTGTAACTGTCCAGCGGCACTGATAAAAAACATCTTAGGTTTGTATATACCTAGCACAGCGCAAT